CCCCGGGCAACGGCCGCGCGCGCAGGGGGCGACGGGCGGCAGCGAGGCAGGGCCGCGGCTGGAGAAGTCGTGGTGGTTTATGGCTTCCTCGAGAGGGGAAGCGTGCTTGCTCTTCCCACCCCCACCTGCCAAGTCATTTTATTCTTTTTCTAGCGTCATTCATTTCTTCTTCTGTTCCTTAATAGCCATAAGGTAGTCACAGGAAAAAAAAAAAATAACACACACACACACATGCCAGGACATGCCAGTAACATAGATTCATCACTGCACTATTTAAAATGGAGGAAAGTTCTCAATGGATAGTTTTGATGAGGAAAAGGGCTAGTGTAAATGTATACAAATGTTAAACCATCCCCACTCCTGAAAACAAACGCAAGTATCACACTTACATGTTCAAAACAACTTTCATATCCTTTTGCTCGCTTTCCCAAGGAAGCCAAGGCTTCAAAAAACACATATGCATGCATGCAATGGCAGCATCTTAATGCCATTAACTAATTTTATTTAGTAAATCTGAAAGGGGAACAAGGCTTCAAAAATGAGTGCATTCATACAAGTTGTCTGAAGATAGGCAAATTACAGTGGCTAAATAAGGAAAAATCAGTTCCTAAACAAGGAAACTAGTGAGAGCTATTTTACTAGAAACAAGAGACTCCAGAATGCAAAAGGGCTTCCTGTTGGGGCACTTCCAACACGAGAGAGTTTAAAAAAAAAAAAAAAACACCAACACACTGGCCCAAAAGCACTGCAGTCTCACTGTTGCGGGGCCGAAGGGAGGGATAAGCTCAGCAAATAAAGCTCGGGAGACTCAGAGCTCAGAGGCTAAGTCAAGAGCAGCATAAAGGACAGTGGAGAGGCCCCACCTAGCCCCTGGTAAGAAGGGGATTAACCTGTTTCCTCCAGAACCGTTTCCAGATAAGGAAAGCTGCTGCAGCCAGCCAGAGTTTTAGAAATGCTGCAATACAAGATCCCAGAAGCGACCAGAGAAAGAGCTGGAAACCAAGGAAAGGTTAACTACACAGGACCACAGCGATTAAAGGTGACCAATAACACAGCAGCCCAGAAGTTTTTGTTGCTTTTGCTAACTTTGCAGCAACAGCACTGCAAGGCAGACTGTACCATTTGGAACTCATAGTGCTCATTTCTCTTCTAGGAGCACAACATTTAAAATCCACTCAATATTTGAAAGAGCGGCCAGTTTACACTGCACAAAACCAGGAGAATACCATTAGTTGTTACTTAGCTTTTAAACAGTTTCATCTTGTGTTGAAGTGTCCAATGCTGCAAATTACTAGTTTGTGTAATATAGTAGCATTTTACCCATACAACAGCTTTGCACAAGCAATTCCATGCCTATAGACTATGAAAACCTCCTTTCCATATTGAATAACTTATCATTACAGCCAAGCTGACAGAGAACCTGACAGTTCAAGATAAAGTAACTTCTCTGCCCACCCAAGTGTAAGATCACCATTAAAAAGGGATATAAAACAGAATTTACAAAATTAACTGCCTCAAACTGTTAGCAAAAATAACATTCTGGAGATATTTACTTTCTAATCTACCACTTAAATATATGACTTTGTACTGGGGAAAGAATAGTAAGGCCTCATTACTTTACACAAGGGTATCTTTTTGCAATTTAAAGGTGCAACTAACTCTTCCAGATTAATGCAACACAAATGAGTCATTGTTAAAGAATATAAATAAATGAGCTTTGTGGCCAAAGTGGCCACCTTTGGAGGAGAAAAAATAGAAAAAAGTCCTTTCGGTATTAAGAGATACTCCATTCTAAATGGTGATCAACACAGATGTGTCAGGACAGAAAAGTTAAAACAAAGCAGTAAAGACGCCCTGGCTCATTCTTAGATAACATGCCAGACCTAACTGCACTCTGTCCTGATCCTTCTCTTTCAGCTTTAGGAAGAACCCACTAGCCACTCCATTCATTCCTACTTATGCCTTGTCAAACCTTAGCACCAGTCCACAGATGCATTGCCACAGTCTTTACTTTTCAGGTTGCAGAACTAGAGCAGCGGCACCACAGGGATCACTGTTTGTTTCCTAGATACAATTGGAAGCTGCAATTCCATAGGGCAAACCACAGTCTTGGCGCCTTTTTTTTTTTTTTTAAATACATAAGCACCATGAAGACTCATAGATGCATATGCCAGTAACACAGCTATTTGTTCCAGTGTCCAGCACATGTGACACTCACAGCCATATGACAGACAGCTGCAGGCAATGAATTAACCTCCTTTTCTCCCCATAGCAACACTTCAAAACCACACCACTGAGTCCCTGAAAAAGGACATGGAAGAAATGAGTAAGCGTGGTTTTCTCCATCACTGCTGGACAATTCTACAATATGCTCCCATTTTATTATGGTACTACACACTCCTGTTTGTAGCACAGCAGCAACAGATTTTAAACCTTTTAAATAGAATAGATTTCAAATAAGAAATTCTATCCTACTAATGAAGCTACTGAATCTAAAATTGTAATCATAACTGTATCTTAATTAGCTAATTCAAGCTTATTTTCTTTACTAGGTACTGTGTTTAGAAAAAACATGAAAGCAGTATCAGTGTTTGTTATGTGAAGCTTTTATCTCATACAGTAGATTAGCTACTCTCTGTGCTACAATACCAGTAGGGAAAAAAAGGATTACAGCATAACTGTGAGAAGCATTTTGAATTCTTCCTGACAAAAGAGAACACACACCCCTAGCTATTTTATTTTATTTTTATTGAAAAACATTAAAAAGTGATCAATGCCAATTTGACAATAAATTTAAGACAGAGGATGGTTTATCTGCTATTTGGATTCCAGTATTTTTGTCATGCAATTGTTATTTCAAAATGACATTCTACTTTAACATTACAATGGTTTATTAAATAATGCTATTAGTTTCTTAACATAAGAATTGGTTAAAAATCAATTTTCCAAAGGTTAAAACTTTTAAACAGCAGGAGTCCACATAGCCTTGACAAACCATCCAATACCTTCCTGTGTATGGTAACTGACACACACAAACCATGGATTTCCCTCCAGCCTCTTTTCCTCTTTAATACTGATCTCAGAAACGTACAAAATGCTTCCTAGTGGATTCTTCTACTTGACGTTATTTCAGTTACATAATGGAGTGCGATTTCTCATTCTTGTTAGAAGCCAGTCTTTTGCTATGTATCCCCAGAGACCTCCTCACAAGGAGGAGCTATATTCATATATATACACGCACAAACAGCAGACCCTTTTGGCAAGTTAAATCTTTTAATAAACTTGTCAGAAAACCAGCCTTGGGATGTCAAGTTCTGTAATTTTATCAGTTCTGTTATTTCTATTATTGTGCACACAAATAGATTTAAAATGTGTCCATCCACACAGATCTAAAGTGGTCAACAGGAGACAATATCTTGAACCACATTCTTAGTGATGAGGTTGTAACAAGGTAAAAGCTCTAACAGTTTTAGTATAGTAAACAATTCCTTATTTAAAGAAGTTGTAAGCTCACAAATATTTGGTTTCAAACCTTCCAACATGGTTTTTAATAATTATGCTGCCTGAAGAAATGATGGAAAAACTCAAGTAATTTGCCTTCCATATAATTTTTTCTCTGTTTTCAATAAATGGATGCTAAATAACTCAGGCCACTACAAACTATTTCACTTTTGCCTGGACTTATCCAACTTTCTAGCAAATCATGATTCAGTCACAATTACTAATTCTGTACTCAGGCTAAAATTTTAAATAGCCTATATAAACTGAGCTTCATTTGTTCCATATTCTACATACTAAAAATATTAAAATATGCATGAAGGTTAATGAAGCGTTTGGTTTGGAAGGTATGCTAGTCACATATCCTGTACTTACAAACTGATGGATTTTGCTGATTCTGTTTAACATCAATCACTGTACCGAAGCTAATATTCAAAGTGTTCCAGCTTTCAACCTCTCTCTGCAATCTTGCCTTAAATAAATAATAAAAAGTTACAGGAGATTACCACAAACTAAGAAGCAGACACTTCATAGTATATAGCAGTAGGGCTATGGACAACTACTGTATACAGCTCTAATTTGTTGGTATTTTTGAGCCCAAGTGTAAATTACAGACCTAATATTTTCTTAAATGAGTTAAAAATCCCAAGCTTCTCCCTTCCACCCATTTTTTTTTTTAAAATGAGACAAATGAGCAAGCTTTTAACCACTTTGATAACCCCTAGTTTCATGTATTTTTGATATCATACAGTACAACTGTATGTTGCACATTAGTGCTGAGTGCACTTTAGAAAGGACCTCCACTGAAATATTTCAAAGAGGTCTTATAGCACCATATATTCTCCTGTTGATTTAACTGCTTAGAAATACACTCTTTGTGCTGTTGTTTCTGAAAAAAGCATGATTTTTTTAAAATTCCCTTTAGCAATCAAAAAAAAAAACAGTATAAAATGTTTATGTTATTCAAGTGATGGCACCTAAGAAGTGACTTACTGGACACCAGTTCCAGTTTCTCAAAACCAATCAGTGAACAGCTACATGATTCTGTTTGAATGGCATACTTGAAAAGGCTGAAAAATCTTGTATATGTATTAAGTATGTCTTTCTTTCACCCCTCATTTTATTTTCAAAGCTTCATCTTGCAAGATTTGATTCTGCCCGCTCCATGAGACCTCTTTTCAAGTCATAATAGTGAAAAATCAGCAACAATTGACTGCTGCAACTGAGACAACTGAGAGCTGACTGCTGGAAAAGCCATTGTAAAACACAACAGCAACTTGACAAGGAAGCAAGAAAACAGCAAGGTACTTGCAATAAACTAGAAATACACTAAACACAAGACAGCGTTCAGCCCTGCAGCAAATTTTACATTCTAGCAATATTTAAATTTGTCCATTTTCAAGTGATACAAAATTCAGAATTGAAATATAACATGAATAAATATGAAGTACATGAATCATTCATGCACTAACAAATGTTGCATTTTTTTCCCCCCCCTCATACACAGGTAAAGCTGAAGCAAGCATGTCAGAACATCATTTAGTTTAAATGAAACCAATATTGGTACTTTACCATTTTTGATACTTGTTAGCTACAACATTCAGAGTCAGTGACCATCCATTTAACTTTACAAGAGCCTTATTTTTCAAACACAAAATTCCAATACAGGGAAGTACAAGCGAGATCAGTTTGAATACTTCATAAAGACCGCTAAACAGCATATTTCTGAAGAAAACGGTCAAATGCATCATAAATAGCTTGCCTAAAACAAGAAAAAGAAAGATAATTATAGATCACTTCTATGATTTGGGAAAGTGTTAAGTGACCTACTCCCATATATTAACAAAATAAAGCTATTTAATGATTTCAAGCAATGCTAAATGAAAAATGTGATATTAAGTATTTTATCTCCCTCACTTATTTCCTGGATCTTTTTCACCTCATTGTAGTAACACATTTATGTCTCAGGAGCAAATGGGGCTACTTATCCTGTAATAGAAGTACAAATGTTAATGTATTAGGAGTTTTCTTTTCAACCATATCAGAAGATGGGTCAAAGAGAGATATACAGTTTCATACTTTTGAACAACCATTTTAACATAAAATAAAGCTGAATTTTGAAACACCAATAAGCTAATGGTTAAGATAACTCCAATCTGTACATTATTACTTTTTGTTGTTGCTTACACTTCCTAAATGGGATGGCCATTCTTACTAATTCTTTCTATTTTGTTATTAATAAGCTTTCACAATTAGTAAACTGTACTGCTATTTCAGCAAGTCCACCAGTCAAGAAATCCTATGAGTATTACACAAATGAAGACAGGTTTGTATTTTAAATTCTGATCTAGAAAACTTTAGTCAATACAACACAAGCAAACCATGCCTAAAGAGTATTTTTCCATTGTCTAATGAACCAATTAACTTGAGGCTTTTACAGGAAAAGAGAGCCAAAAGGAACACTCTCTTGTCACTGGCTTACTGAATGATCCAAGTCATACTGCTGCACCTCATCCTAGCTTACAAGATGGAAATGCTGTCATCTGCTGTAAATTTTTTGAAGTCTGTTCTTCTACCAAGTACCTGATAATTGTTGCTTTACAGTAATAAAATTTACAGTAATAAAATTGTTGCTTTACAGTAATAAAAGTGGTATTAAGATCTCAGTTATTTTAAAACCTGTCTCTCTAACTTACCTAAAGAGTCCTTGTTTGAAGAGATAGGCACTGACATGACCTCCCTCCAGATACCTGATTTCACATCCAGGCCAGATTTCTTGAAGACTGCGCACCCCAGTTCGAGGAATATATGCATCCTCCTTCGCTTGCACAACTATGATTAAACTTGGGTCAACTGGAACTAAAGAAAAACAAATTGAAATGTTTCCTCAACAATTGAAAGGCAATTCACCCACAGTACGCAGTACAAGTACTTTAGCTACCCAAGATTTCTGTTGTTAAGTGCAGAGCACCTTTACTATATTCACAGAATCACAGAATGCTGAAGGTTGGAAGGGACCTCTAGAGGACATCTAGTCCAACCCCCCTGCACACGCAGGGTCACCTAGAGCACGTGGCACAGGACTGCGTCCAAGCGGGTTTGGAAGATCTCCAGAGAAGGAGACTCCACAACCTCTCTGGGCAGCCTGTTCCAGGGCTCTGTCACCCTCACTGTTAATAATTTTTTCCTTAAGTTCCAGCGGAACTTTTGATGCTTCAGTTTCTGGCCGTTTCCTCTTTCCCATGGGTCCCCGTGCTATTGCACAGAGCCATCCACAAATATATAATAATACATACATATTAAATTACACACACACAATGTGTATCACTACCTAAAATGAATTCTAGTTTTCTACTCAGCTTTCCATGAAATTTGAACATGGATTTATTGAAGTTCTTCTCTAGGCACTCTCCAACAGTATCCTAGCAAGGGATTAGTGTTTCTGCCTCAAAAGACAAAGCATCAACAAAGATATCGAAAGGTGGGTCTTGATTGCACTTTCTCAATGACTCTTATGGAGAAAGAAAACAATTACTGCAAGATAAAGGAACTGATGTAGCAAATATTATATTGAACAACATTCAGGATACTTTTGTATTTTAAACCAAGGTGCCAGGTTGAGACAATGGGAGAATGAAGAGAATACCCATTGTGTCAAGGCATGCTCTTTAGTTTTCCAAACTACAACTTACAACAAGCAAAAACATACCTGAAAAGTTGGCTACATGGGTACATTCATCCATAACTCCTTTCATGAAGCGGAGCGATTCCCTCTGTAAAGTGTCACTCTTTCTTCTTTCATTTATCTTGTGTCCTTGCTGACAGGTTAAGTTTTTATTGCTATTGCTACTGGTTGAAAATGTTTGATTTATACATTGCATTTTAGAAGCATCTTGTATTAAGAGTCTTTCTGATGAGGCACTTAGAGTACTTTTATTTGTGGTAAAGCAGTGACCAGCTTCATTAGATACAGTTTTGTTTGATTCCTCAAAGTTGAACATTCCAGAAGTCAGGTCTATGTCCCCTAGACTACCTACACTGTCAGGGAAGTTTTTAACAAAATCTTGTCCCATTTTGAAGGAATCTGTCTAAACAAAAGGAGTTAGTTGACATCAATCATCTTGGTATGGAAAAAAAAGGAGAAAAAACAGAAAGTTTAAGTACCTTAAACTAAAAGAATAACTCAACATTCCTATGTGTTTCTACAGTATTGGGAGCAATTGCTCTGAAGGACAATAAATAATTTTTTGATATTTACACTTCAGGCTACTGGCTACTCCACACTGTAAAGCCAATTACTGAGAAGTATCATCCACAGTTTCAGTGTTTGACTGAATTCATTTTATGCTGCAGATTACACCAACCTGCTATCTGTGGCCATAGATGAAAGTTTGCACTGAGTGCTACACTCAAGACACTACACAACCAAAATATTAACTTGTTTCCCTTTGAAGGTTTTTTTCCAAAGATTAATCAAAAACATAAGGGCACAAGAGACAAAAATCTTTATCATATGATTTGCTACCTAAAAGTGAAAATAAGTTGTTGAATTTTAACAAATACTAGCAAACAATAAAAACAAAATATACTCACTCCACAATATTCAAGCATTTGAATGATTTCTTCTTCATAAACAGTCTGTGTAAAATACTGTTTTTCTAGCTCTCTCCAGTTCACGGCCTTGCTCAACACACCCTGAAATTATAAACACAAGTGCCCAATACACGACATAAAAACAATACAGGTGATTCTGAAATAATGACAGGCATAGAAAATTGACCTGCCCCTCTGCAATGTGATCCTTCCAGTGGAGTTTTAGTTAGATTTTTAGATAGCCTTTGGAGCAACTGCAATCAAAGCATAATCATATAATGTAACAACAACACGGAAATTCATTTTTTAAAAATTAGTAGACAACAACCCCATTTGAGATTTATGCATATCTAGATTGTGCTAGGCCAAAGGTTGGTGTCGAGACTACTCACTCATTCAGTAGTAATGAAAACAGGTACCAATACCAGTGGTAGCAGCATTATTACTCATATTTTAAGACAGATTTTGAGCAAAAGAAAACATGCTTTCACAGTTCTCTTCCTCATCTTCCTACATTCAACTCTATGTAATCCCAGTCTTGCAAAGCAGGACCAGCCCCATCTCCCAGCCTAGGACATGACCCACTGAAGTAGCCTGGGGCTTCATTCCTCATCACGTGCTGTATCCTGAGCAGGAAGGGCAGGTTTTGCCACTAGTCTATTAATGAAGGTAAAATGGTGATGAAATATCCCTACTAAAAAGGTGAACATGGCCAGCTCATAGTTTTGCATCTGATTATGCTCTAGCACATTAACAAAAATATGGATTAATTACCGTGGTGAAGACAGCAGAAGCTGTTGACCAGGAAAGACATGGAATCAATGGCAACGGTTTAGGCCAATTTGTCACTGCCAGTGAAGCCATCTATTAGATAGAACAACCAAATGCACTTATTACATACTCACATACATGCACTTCAACACTGAGTTCATGATATTCCAAAATCAATTTTAAGAGCTCTCATCTTTTGATTTTTTTTTAATTATTATTATTACAAAAGCTGTTACCAAAAATAATAAGCAGTACCAAAGCAGTTAAGGACTGGAGTCATCAGATACCCTTCTTCCTCTTTAAAACTTCCAGGAAAAAAATGGATTTCTGGTTATAACTACAAGAATACCTAACAGCATATTTATTTAGAATACCTAGCAGTATATTTATAAATAAAGAGCCTTTAGCTGTTTCAAATCATGAACAACTTGAACAGGCTCTTACAAGCACTTTTGTACTTCTGATGCTGGAAAAAAAAAAAAGTGAAAGAAGTAATCTGGCATATTGAATAAACTTTTTTTTTCTTTTTAAACCCGAGTTATTCCTTTTGCATTGGCTTTCAAAATATTTTTATGAGTATTCTATGTATACGAAAACAAGTAAAAAACCTTACACAGACGTAAAACAAATATTTCCTTATATGGCATGTTCTGGCCAAGTTTTATTTTATTGTCCTAAACTAAAAATCAATGTACATCCTGTAAAGCCCTTATTACAAAGTCATCTATGTCTGCGTAGGAGAATTGAATAAATACATACATAACTCAATTGTTTTGTTTTGGTTAATAAAAAGAACATACACACATATTTATCTGGACAGTCAGTAATTCTGACTTCCTTCTTCACAGATCCCAGTCTTTCCCT